AAGCAGCCCATCTGCAATTGGATGTATCGGGAGCTGGAGAGCGCGCGGCGCTCGGGGTTTCTTCCCGCGGCTGACGGCGTTCGCCACTTAAGAAAAGAAGCGTCCAAGTACTCGCTCTGTGATTGAGATGTGCCGGGGTTCGGCCGTTCATTCCTGCCTCTCCCCGAGCTGGAGAGCCCTTCAGTACCTGGTGTTTTATCTCCAAGAAGGCACTTGCGCCCTCTCCTCAGGGCATCCCTCGATCTTCTGGCTGCAAAGCCGACGGAGCCAGCTCTGACCCTCCTGGCCTTGGTGGCCGCGGGCCGGTGGCAGCGCTGATGGGTCTTGCAGCAGATAAAGCAGTGGCCCGGCACAAACCCGGCTCCTGAGCCAACACCGTGACCCACTCACAGCAATTTTTACTGGGTCTCAAAACCGGAGGAACACAACTTGTACATAACTCTCTGTGTTAAGTAGCACTAAGGGTGTATCAAAAGCCAGACTGATCGTCTAAGTGTTGGAAAGAAATGAGTAGTGTTTTCCCTCGGGTATCAGAGCATAGGCAGGAACTGATGGTTCAGGTCGTAGTGATTTATGTACAGAAAGAGAGAAGAAAGCAACAGGAACAGGCAAATAGATATCGGGGTCTGAAATTTAACTCCCTCATAAATCTGGGTCTGGATGGGTTGGGCCCACTGTAGGAACATCTCTTGCACCGGGCCTGCTGGAAGCGTGTCTGTGTTTTCTGGAGGCTCCCGCACCGTCCCCCCGCTGACCTGCCCAAACGCCCCATCTTGCTGGCTGCCTGGCATCACCGTGGTTGCTGCCCCCTCCCTTCTGAACAAGGCAGAGAACGTTCGATTTTCTTGACCTCTAAGTGTTGCTTGGGCAGAACCATGTATTTTTAACCTTCTCCGTTAATGCCTCTGTCAGCACGCCACGCTGCTTCACCGATAACGTTAGGGGGTTGTTTCTGATGCCATCCTAATGGGAAGCGATGTTCTTTACTTGGACACAGAGGCAACAGATTTAAAACAATAAAAAGGCTTTTTTCAACCTTGGAGTGATGCTCTAGGTAACCACATTGCGGTTTAACAGGGCATGAAATAACTGTCTGCCTGTGGCACTGCCAGATCATCTCAGCAGCTCTTGCAGCCAGAAGATAAATAGGTATCATCGTCGTGCTGATGGAAAAATACTCGCAAAGCCGACAGCCAAGAGCATCGATAGCATCCAAACAGGGCTTTGGGAAATGCAAGGGATAGGCAAGGAGGAGCAACACGTTGGCCTGCGAAACGACTGACCAGACAGTTCTGAAAAGGGATTCCTATTAGTAGGTTTAATAATTAATTACTTCCCAAGTGCCATCAGTGCGGCTGCATCTTTCCAAGTTTTGGGTCAGGAAAAAAATGTGTTTTGAAACAAAAAGTGTACACAGGTACTTGGGGCTGTTGGTGTCTGTTAGAGCCACGTAGAAGGGTTTGGTGAGCATGGGCACTGCGGCTAAAGCAAATTCAGGACATAAATAAGGAAGAAACAAATTTAAATAGGAATCCGCTAATTTAAGTCATAGAATCATAGAATGTTTTGGGTTGGAAGGGACCCCCAGAGGTCACCCAGCCCAACCCCCCCGCGGGAGCAGGGACACCTTGAACCACATCAGGTTGCTCACAGCCCCGGCCAACCTGGCCTGGAATGGTCCCAGCGATGGGGCCTCCACCCCCTCTCTGGGCAACCTGTTTCAGTGTTTTACCACCCTCATTGTAAAGAATTTCTTCCTTAGATCCAGTCTAAACCTACCCTGCTTCAGTTTAAAGCCCTCCCCCCTTGTCCTGTCCCAGCTGGCCCTACTAAAAAGCTTGTCCCCCCCTTTCCTCTGGGCCCCCTTGAAGCCCTGACCGGCCGCACTCAGCTCTGCCCGCAGCCTTCTCTTCTCCAGGCTGAACACCCCCAACTCTCCCAGCCTGGCCTCACAGCAGAGGGGCTCCAGCCCTCGGGTCATTTTGGTAGCCCCTTGGATCATTTTAGTAGCCCTCCTCTGGCCCCGCTCCAACAGTTCCACGTCCTCCTGGTGCCGAGGGCTCCAGAGCTGGACGCAGGGCTCCAGGGGAGGTCTCCCCAGAGCAGAGCAGAGGGGCAGAATCCCCTCCCTCGACGCTGGCCACGCTTCTCCTGATGCAGCCCAGAGTACGGTTGGCCGTACTCTGGAATAAGAGGAGTAAACAAATCAACCAAGCAATGTTGAACGATAACTGTGTGAAACCCTCAAGCTGTTGTCTTAGGCAGCGTCGCCGTGCATGAGGGTTCCGGGTATCACTTGGTTAATCTAAGGCATGATCCTGTTGGTAATCGCTGGATAAATCAGAAAGGAGAAGTTAACGTGGCCTCTCCCCTAACGTTCTTCGTGCGATTCCTTGTGGAATCCACTAAAAACCTCCAGTCTGTGATCCTTTTTAAAATTCTGATTAAATAGGATCCCTGGTGGTATGTTCCTAATCAATTGACATAATTAAAAATCTTAATTAATAAATAATAGTAAGGGGACCGTTGAAATAGCTTGGACGTGGGTCTGGGTTGGTGCTGCTCCGGCCGGGCAGGCGCTCGGCTCAGCTGAAGCGTTTGCCTTCTCTCGTGCAGGGACCTTCCCCGGTGCCGATGAACGGTGCTCTCGCGTGAATTCATGGTAAAGCGCTGCTCAAATGAAAACGGGGTCGTACTTTATAGTACATTTCCCTCCTGTCCTCTGTGTTTTGGAAGGTTGGCGCTGATTCTGTCGCTCCTTGGCCTCTGGTGAGGACATTTTGGTCTCTCCAAGCCCCAGTGCCTGGGGAGAAGGTAGGGAATGGGGTTGTCAAACTTGAGGCGAAGCCGCATGCTGTGGAGTCCCTCTCTGGGCACGAGAGCGCTGCCTGGGATGCAGCTTTGCCCAATTGCTGGAGGAGCCCCGTGCTCTGCAAAACCCCAGTGGCTTCAGCGTCTGTCAGTGGGGATGCTCCCGTCCCCGTGCTGGGGGGGCAGAGGGAGCGGTGACCGCCACTGCCAGCAGCCCTGGCTCGTCAGGGAGCGTCCTTCGTCAGCGCAGATGTCGCCTGCCGCCACTAATTTCAGATCGTAGAGAGCAGAGGACAAGAGGAATGCTCCAGAGCTCACGTGTTTGAGGTCTCTTGTTCTCT